TGAATACAATAGATATATAGAATGATGCAGCGCTACTCACATCCACTAAAAAATAATATAAAGGTTCCCCCTGCGCTGCTATGAAACACACCTAGTTAATAGCTGCTCACACCTAATCCTCTATGTGCAAAGGAATAATAATAATTCACCACTATTATTAGAATACACTAAATACATACATATGAATGTAAATAAATACAGTTGTGTTCAAAATAATAGCAGTGTGTTGAAAAAAGTGAATAAAGCTCAAAATCCTTCTAATAGCTTTTATTTCCATACACACAAATGCATTGGGAACACTACACATTCTATTCCAAATCAAAACATGAAGAAAAATATATCAAATTTGTGTTCCTCTAAAACAATTGAAGAAAAGTGAATATTAGACTGTTCAAAAAAATATCAGTGTTTGTATTCTTCTTTACAAACTCAAACATTCACTATATCAACTGAAAAATGTTTGAAGATTTTGCTTTCCTTTGAATCAATATTTAGTTGTATAAGCACTGTTTCTGAGAACTGCTGTACATCTGTGTTGCATGGAGTCAACCAACTTCTGGCACCTGTGAACAGGTATTCCAGCCCAGGATGATTGGACTGCATTCCACAGTTCTTCTCTATTTCTTGGTTTTGTCTCAGAAACTGCATTTTTTATGTCACCCCGCAAGTTTTCTATTGGATTAAGATCTGGGGATTGGGCTGGCCACTCCATGACGTCAATCTTGTTGGTCTGGAACCAAGATGTTGCACATTTACTGGTGTGTTTGGGGTCGTTGTCTTGTTGGAACACCCATTTCAAGGGCATTTCCTCTTCAGCATAAGGCAGCATGACCTCTTCCAGTATTCTGATGTATTCAAACTGATCCATGATCCCTGGTATGCGATAAATAGGCCCAACACCGTAGTATGAGAAACATCCCCATATCATGATGCTTGCACAACCATGCTTCACTGTCTTCACAGTGTACTGTGGCTTGAATTCAGTGTTTGGGGGTCGTCTGACAAACTGTCTCCGGCCACTAGACCCAAAAAGAACAATCTTACTTTCATCAGTCCACAAAATGTTGCACCATTTCTCTTTAGGCCAGTCAATGTGCTCTTTGGCAAATTGTAACCTCTTCAGCATGTCTTTTTTTTCAACAGTGGGACTTTGCGGGGGCTTCTTGCAGATAGCTTGACTTCACATAGGCGTCTTCTAATTGTAACAGTACTCACAGGTAACTTTACACCTTCTTTGATCTTCCTGGAGTTGATTGTTGGCTGAGTCCTTGCCATTTTGGCTATTCTTCTATCCATTTGAATGGTAGTTTTTCGCTTTCTTCCACATCTTTCAGGTTTTGGTTGCCATTTTAAAGCATTTGCGATCATTTTAGCTGAGCTGCCTATCATTTTCTACACTTCTTTATATGTTTTCCCCTCTCCAATCAACTTTTTAATCAAGGTACGCTGTTCTTCTGAACAATGTCTGGAATGACCCATTTTCCTCAGAATTTCAGAGAGAGATGCACTGTAACCAACATTTGCTGCCTTGCTTCCTTAAATAAGGGCAATAATTGCCACCTGTTTTTCAAAGAATGAATGACCTCACTAATAGAACTCCAAACTGCTATTATTTTGAACATGCCCCTTTCAATTAGTGATTCAATGACACAGAATCAGCAGCATGCATGTCATGACTGTTGGGTCTGTTGGATTTCTATTACTCTACTACACCTGCTAGTAAATTATTTGCCATGTAGAAATATAATTTCTACCAAAAACAGTGACTGATCAGGTTAGTGATGTCTGACTGCTATTATTTTGAACACAACTGTATGTGAAAAAAAACAAAGTGGTGAAATACTATGAAGAACTAGAGCTGAAACTCCATACATGTGCTGCAATCTTTATAGAATCAATAAGTGAGAAAACAGTGAAACAACGCACATCCATGTGTAACAAACTAAAATGACAAAAGTGATTATATCCTAAGCAGGATATGATGGTAGTAGTGAATAATAGTCCAAATGGGACTAACAGGTGATGGGTCTATACCACTATAGACTCAATGACAAACGCATAAGCATGCAAACCTCCTATGTGTGTGCATAAAAAAAATAAAAAATGCACCAACCTAGTATCTACTAGTGCCAAAACGTAAATCACAAATATGTATCCCACAAATAAAATACAGCAATAAACTGACATATAAAACATACCAATGGGTGAATATATATATATTGTTATATATTTTTCCTGAAAAAACCCAAAAAAGGTATTAAGATGACAAATATTATGTGGCAATATTGTGATAAACCACACTTTGATCAAACTAGAAATGGAGAGGAGCCACCAAACCACCGTGCCGACCCCAGAGATTCTTTTGAATTTTTTTGGTTGCTATTCTGTCTCTCAGTGTTACAACGTACACCTACCATTCGATTTTTATACTCATCAGATTTCATGATTTGTGAGTGGGCAAAAAACATTCAAAATCATCAGGGGATCAAAAATACTTATTTCCCCTTCACTCAAGTACATTTTAAATAAGCTTTTTTAATTTCAGGAAATGACAATGTTACTGGCTCCATGTACACTCACATTTAGGAGCTTTTCTGCATTTTTTTTTTTTTTTTTTTTCACGACCAGGGAGCCCCTGAACTTTCCCTAATGTTTTCCTATGTGTCCATGTACACATCGTCGTTCACAGGCAGTTGAGTTTACAGTAGTTTTTTTGAACGCATCAAACTTGCGTTCAGGGGTAGATTTTTATCAGCATTTCAAACACCAAACATGCTTGTAAACGCGGCAATAGCCGTGTTTGTGTGTAAGCTTTCTTTCCTTTTTTTTTTTTTTTTTTTAACTCTTCCATTTCCAGATGCTGTCCAGAGCCTTTTTTCATCAAGAAAAATGCATGCAAAGTGTTTTCCTGGTACTCAAATGGACCTGGTACACCATACTTTGAGTGGGTTTGGCATGAAAGAAAATATGTTAGACACTTTTTCTGCAATAATTTCTGCACAGAAATGAGCTGGAACGCATCCAAACACCACAAACGCTTGTAAACGTGTTTGTAAGATTTTTTTTTTTTTTTTTAAAAAAAAAAAAAAAAAAAAAAAAAAAAAAAAAGGTTTGGCAAAAGAAAAAGGGCAGCTTATCTCAACAAATACTGCTCTCTGCTTCTACTCTCTCTACTTTCTCTCACAGTCTGAAATAGTTAATAATTTACCATTTTCCAGTGTATTCTGGGCATTTGGGAGGTTCTTTTGTGCTTTTCTTTAAAAAAACACTTCTGACCGCAAACACTCATAAATGGAGTGTGCAAATGAGGCAAAACGTACGATTTTTAACAGCGTTCAGAAGAGTTCTCCAAAACGCACAGTGTACATGGAGCCTTAGAGATGAAGCTTGCTGTATATGACTGTTTACAATGTTTCCCCAGACTTACTGCAAGTGACCAGAGTAATGGGCACAGTTGACAACCAGCAAGTTTTGATTCCACCGATTATGGGCAAAGCCCCCCCCCCCCATTCCAGCTTCATAAAATGCTTCTTTTGAAATAGTTTTGTTTTTTGCATGCCTTTCAAACATACAACAGCATTTCATACACTGGACATTTATTGCAAGGGTAAAATGACAGTGACACAAAATGTACATTCCATCATTCCCACTTCAGTTCACTGAAGATAAAAAAAAAAAAAAAAAAAAAAAAAAAAAAAGGGTGTGCTCTTAGCTAGGAAAAAAAAAAGTCCAACGTGTCTTTAAATAAAATCTATTTACACATAATGCAGTCTATACATAGGACATTTCTCAGTCACAACCAGTGAATTAGGGGTTCATAGTCTAAATCAACTTATTTAACATAGATTGACTTTTCTATGATCCAAAATTGTTATTTCACATACAGGTTTTTATTTACAGATGTGCCAAAAAGGCACACAGATTTATACCCATAGCAGCCAATGAGAAATTTCCTTTATTAGGCTGTCTGCTCCAAGCTGCTGAACCAGATTGGTGGCCATAATTCCCTGCATATGGTCTTTAAACTCCTTAATCTCTATATTGCAAACATTAAAGCTCAGAAACTGTTACACATAAACAAACCCCCAGTAAGAACAAGCATGCTCATTACACACAACCCTGTGTAAAACATGCAACACGAGACCCTTGTGCATTATTGCATTAACTGTGTCATACCATGTGCTAGACCACATATGCATATCCAAAAACCTCCCCAGGAAAAATGTGCAAAATGTCAATTAAATGTTATAGTGTCAACAAGAAAAAAAACCATTTAAAACCACAAAATAAAATAAAACAAATCTGTGAAAAGCAATACCAAAAAACACGGCTTTATGGTGTAAAACCTCTTCTAGAAGGGAAGTTTGTTAGAGGAATACATGTCTCCAGTCCTTGGCTTCAAATAGAATGAATGTGCAACAAATAGAGATCCGTCTTAGGAGTGTATTATACACCCTCCAGTTCCAGTTGGAAACTTTGAAGTTCTCTGTTCTGAAAATGGTTCACAAGCAGCTAGAAGTAGAGTCTGTGGCCACCTCTAGAAGTGGTTGCACTGTAGATACAATGCCAATACCAGGGGCGGACTGACAATTCATGGGGCCCCACAGGCAATAGGGGATCATGGGGCCCACGGGCAATAGGGGATCATGGGGCCCGTGTCCTTGCCCAAACTCAAAAAAGCCTATGAAAAAAGGTACCAGGGGCATCTTATGGGGCCCCCTACTGACCCCCGGGCCCTCGGTCAGTGCCAGAGTTTCCAAATGGTAGACTCAGCCCGCCCCTGGCCAATACTTATAAGTCTTAAACCTGGTCTCTAAAAGTATTTAATACCAGCGAGAAATCTTTGAAATAAATTAAATGGCATACAGTCCTAAAAAGGGATGATCCCTCCTAATCCCCAATTTTAGACGTGTAGCATTTCTTGGATGGTACATAATACAATTATTAAAACAGCAGAGGGAATCATGAGTTCTGTCAGTCCACACCTTAGTTATAGTGTTTCATCCTTTTACCAGCAAGTGTAAGAGAATAGAGGATACTGGCTCCAGTCTGACATCCCATTGTGTGGGTGATTCACAGGTCCCTGGGTGCCAAAGTCTGTTGGGGTAGGAGTAGCCCATGGGCCGATACTGCCCTTGTGTTGGAACCATCCACTGGTCAGTGGTATATGGACTGTACATGGGACCACGCAGTGTCTGCCGTGCAGGTGTGTCCATTGGAAAGTTCATTCCACTGGGGCGCTCCTGTACAGGATGCTGTGGAGGAAATACTTGAAGCTGACAGGCATCCAACTCTGGCACTGTAGCAACATCAGGTGTGAGGCGTCTCCCTGCTGCTTCACATACATCCAAGGAACCTGGAAGGGGCTGAGGACATCTTCGCTGTGGGCTTCTGTGGTATAATAAAAGACATGTGTAAATGTTATTTCCCTTGATTATTATTATTATACAGTATTTATAAAGCGCCAATAGTTCGCTCAGCGCTGTAAAAAAAAAAAAAAAACCCCAAAAAAAAACCCCACACACTCTGAAGGCTACCAAATTTATTACACGTTACTGAATAGCACAAAGGTAGTTGTAATGGACGTTTACCTATACAGAAAGCTGGATGAAGAGGATGGAACCTGCTGCTCCTGGTGTGGAGACTCTGTCAAATCTGGAGAGGTGGAATTTAAATTAAGACCTCCTTCGTGATCTGCAACCCATTGGGAGAATACTTCTGCTGGCATAACGCTAGGCTCTTCCTTTACGCAAGCAATTTTAGAACGATCTAAATGGGCGCAAAAAATGAAAAAAAAAAAAAAAGGATTAGTTCATACATTAAAATGATCTACAAGATTGACCAAGCCACCCAAATCTAGTCCATATTCCATAGTAAACAAAAATACCTTCCTCTTTTGGTTCAAGACTGTCCTCCCATTTCTTTCTTTTCTGGCGCTTGCTAGGACTTTGAGGATGAAGCTTCAACATATCATCACTGAGGAAAAAAAGAAAAAAAAAAACGGTCAATGTATGCAAGACTGAATTGCATCACACCGAAGTAGGTGCCATTTTTTTTTTTTTTTTTTAATACACTGAAGGCTGGCTTCCTCTAAAAAAATGATTTATTTAGCCTTGTAGTGGAATTCCTACAGTTGAGTGCCAGCTGCTGTAAATTCAGGTTAGAGTCAGAAGCACAAAAAATCATAACTAGCTAAAGGTTAGAAGCTTTTCACCTAAACTTTTATTATAGAGGTGTTACCACGTCATGAAAATTATTGGACAGTCTTGGCTGAACTTCTAAAAACGCTAGTTTCCTGCCAGTTTTTCTAACCATATGACTTCTGTAATAAAAAAGTAATTCATAATGAGACTGTTTTACTAAAAGACATTGATAATATTCACACAAGTCGCTCATAGGTGAAAAAAAAAAAAAAAAAAAAAAACAGCAGCAATTCCTGACGCTGTCATGAACACTAGAGCTAGTCGCCCATGCAAATGTAGCCTTAGTAAATCAGCCTCATGGGGTCCCAGTCATAAATTAGTCTTTACTAGTCTTTAACATACTGGAATGAAGCTTCTTGAACTGAAGTAGCAATTTATCAAATAAATCAATTAACATCAAATACATTTTATTACTATAAAAGCATACATACCTCCGGTTGACCCTTTCCTGTTCTCTGAAACCCTTGGCAAAAGGATTGTGATCAATTTTCAGTTTTGTGATCTAGAAAAAAAATAAGAAGGGTGAGAATAAGTAATCTAGATTATATCTATCTATCTCTATATCTATCTATCTATCTATCTATATATATATAAATATATCTGTGTACATGCAGGCGTACCTCGGTTTACGTAAATTGTCAGTTTATAAATGAAAATTATGCCTCGGTTTACAATTTTTTTTTTTTTTTCGCAATACGAGCGGATTAATTGGTTTTCAAGTGATTTACACTTTTTTTTTTAAATCATGTCCCTGTACAGTATTTATGCCTTTAAAGTGCACTTTATAAAGAGTTTTTGAACAGATAAAAGACTGTACTTCTTACTAATCTCCGGAATGAATGAATTGGTTTTCAATGCATTCCTATGGGAAACCGCATTTCGGTTTACGCATTTTTCACAATATGAAAAGTCCCGCAGAACGCAATAAATTCGTAAACAGGTACGACAGTATAAACAAACAATGCCACTTCATGCATTAAACAGTGCTTTATACAGTTCATAAACATTCACTATCCTGTATCAGATAAGCTTACACTCTGCTGTCTCTACCACATTAACAGATATATTTGCTCTAGTGCCAGCTTGGTCAAAATTATATTATCAGTATTTTTATAGTTGTGGGTGGAAACAATTGTAAACACAGAGAAGACATACAAACGAAACCTTTCAATATGCGTTGTACTTTATCTTACCTTATCATTTTGATAGGCAGTGACTGCTGTAAACTGGGTCTCTGAGAAGCTAAAAACCTGCAGGAGTCCCCATCGGGTGTTGTATAGGTCATCAGACTGAATAATGTGGAACCGAGGTTTGTACCGATGCATTGAGTGCAAGATTATCTGCAAAGAGTGAAGAAGCACTAAAATAAGACCATAATATTCTATAGGAGCATGGCAACTTATGAGCAAGTACAAGGGTAGGCATCTCATTTCATATAAATGCTTACATGTCCATGTTGGTCCAATGTGTTGTTGGTCAGTTTAAGCTTTTGGAAACAGACTGCATCCTTCATCCAGTGGGCACCTGGGGCTGGAGAGTCTGGGTGAACATATGTCCTGCATGGAGGGTGTGGCTCCGCTTTACCTGCTGCCTCCCACTGGTTCTTGTTCCACTATTAAAAGAAAGTAAAACAATGCAGAGGGGTTAGACAAAAAAAAAAAATGATTGCAGGTGTGAAAGTGACATGTTTTGCATTGAAAGTGGAAGTGATGTAACATTCTTTTGCTTCTGCTGTGAAATAAGAAACCTAGCTAATGGTGGGAAGACTTACTTTCATCATTCACTGCATGCGCTGCTAGTAATACGGAGTCATGTCAGAGCTTACTGAACTCCTAAGAGGGCAAATTTATTGATGCCCGCTTAACTGGTGCCTCAAAAAGGTTATGACGCCTTTCCATACATGAATACAGACAGTTCTTGCTGAATTGGTCACATTGTGATCTATGTATGGCTGCCCTTAAATGCAGGTCAAAATCATTCCATGTAGTGATAACTTGGACTTTACTGCCTAGTAGTGCCTATGTATTACAGAAATTACTCATATTTACCTTATATCTGCAGTTGTCTAGAGGGATAAAATCCACCAGAACCACATATTTGGTGTAGGGATGGAGCCCAAAGAGCCGAATTTTACATTGTGGGAACATCCGCCTGTAAAGAAATGTGATTGATAATTAGAAAAATGTTGCTTCTAATGGAGTTAGTACTCTACAAAAGCAAAGTATATGATTAAACCCCTTTGTGGGGGAATATTTAATGTTAAAAAAAAAAAAAAAAAAAAAAAACTGGGTCCATCTGTGCTTTTGAACTGTGGCAGTAATAAAATGTACAAGATACAATGTAGATCATTTTTTAATTAGCAGTCATTGGCATGCATGATCACTGTAAGGTCTTTGTGTTTGAGGACTCACCTTCCAGACTTGGTGATGATCATCTCTGTGCCTTCCTGGTGGAACTGCCTCCATAAATCCAGGTCCTCCAGGGTCGCACTGACAGAGTTGGGCAAGTACACAGAATCTTGGTTAGTCACACAGTCCAT